CCCACATCCACCCAGGGGTCCAGCTCGCACTGAGGGGGAGGTTATGGGGGAGATGTGGGGCTGGGGGCACAGCTTGGGACCCCCTGAGCCCCCCAGGAACCCCCCACATCCACCCTGGGGTCCAGCTCGCACTGAGGGGAAGGTTATGGGGGAGATGTGGGGCTGGGGGCAGAGCCTGGGACCCTCTGAGCCCTCCAGGAACCCCCCACATCCACCCAGGGGTCCAGCTCACACTGAGGGGATTAAGGGGGATGTGGGGCTGGACCCCAGCCCAGCCTCCCCAAAACTCCCATATCTCAGGGGGGACCCTCAGAACTCCTAAGAAGAAACCCCAATATCCCAGCCCAGCCTGCCCAGATAGCAGCTGAGCCCCCTCCCCAATACAAGGCAAAAAAATGGAGTTTCGGAGACTTGACAGAGAATTTGAGCTCTCCCCTAGTTTTGGGGAAAAACTGAGGTACTCCCCACATATTTTGGGTTTATAATGTGCTCCCCACACTGTTTTTAGGCATATTGGGGTTCCCTCCTTGGAGTTTTAGGAGTCTATGAAAGAAAATTTGCACCCAAACAGCTCCAGGATGGGGAGGAAATGGGGGCTCCTAGGGGGGCTGTGAGGATGCTGGTGAGCCCCCCCCCAATTTGGAAAAAAGTAGTGGAGGAGGCGGCTATCATTGGGGTGCACTGCAGGAAATGTAGAAACCCCCCCCACATTCCTAAACCTCCAGAAAACTCCAGATCTGCCCCACCCAAGGGCTGAGGGCTCAAGGGGTTCAGCTGAAACCAGGCACCCCCCTCATTTCAGGACCATTCTGGGGTATCCCCTCCCATTCTAGGGTTGCTCCCTGTGATTTTGAGGTGCTCCAGGGTGACACCCCACCAGTGGCAGTGACCAGTTTGGGGACAAGCTCAGCACCACCCTGACAATCCCTTGGGAAATTCCCTCGTGTCTTGGGACCCCCCAGGTTTTGGAGAACCCCCCCCCAGGTTTTGGGGACCCCTCCCACCTTCCCAATGTTCCATGTCTTGATCTGCTGCAGTTCCGTCACCAGCTGCTCATCACTGCAAGCTTTCAGCTTCTCGATGAGGGCCCGGCAGTCAGCGGGCTGGGGGGCACAGGGAACTCAGCACTGTCCCCTCATGGTGACCCCAACACCTCCCAATGTCCCCAAAACCCTCCATTCCCTTCCCAATGTCCCCACTTCCTCCCAACATCCCCAATTCCCCTGACATGGTGTCCACAACCCATCCCTGACTGTCCCCAACCCCTCCCTGAGTGTCCCCAACCCATCCCTGAGTGTCCCCAACCCATCCCTGAGTGTCCCCAACCCCTCCCTGACTGTCCCCAACCCGAGTGTCCCCAACCCCTCACTGAATGTCCCCAGCTCCTCCCTGAGTGTCCCCAACCCATCCCTGACTGTCCCCAACCCCTTCCCGAGTGTCCCCAACCCATCCCTGACTGTCCCCAGCTCCTCCCTGACTGTCCCCAACCCATCCCTGACTGTCCCCAACCCCTTCCTGAGTGTCCCCAACCCCTCCCTGACTGTCCCCAACCCATCCCTGACTGTCCCCAACCCCTTCCCGAGTGTCCCCAACCCATCCCTGACTGTCCCCAACCCCTTCCCGAGTGTCCCAAACCCATCCCTGACTGTCCCCAGTCCCTCCCTGACTGTCCCCAGTCCCTCCCTGACTGTCCCCAACCCCTTCCCGAGTGTCCCCAATCCATCCCTGACTGTCCCCAACCCGAGTGTCCCCAATCCCTCCCTGACTGTCCCCAACCCATCCCTGTCCCCAGTCCCTCCCTGACTGTCCCCAGCTCCTCCCTGACTGTCCCCAACCCCTTCCCGAGTGTCCCCAATCCATCCCTGACTGTCCCCAACCCATCGCTGACTGTCCCCAACCCCTTCCTGAGTGTCCCCAACCCCTGAGTGTCCCCAACCCCTCACTGAATGTCCCCAGCTCCTCCCTGACTGTCCCCAACCCCTTCCCGAGTATCCCCAGCCCCTCACCGCCTCCGTGGGGGTTTTCTTCAGTTTCGTCCGATCCACTTTCATTTTGGGGTTCCGGTCCTCGTGCTCTGCCTGCGGCCACACGTGGTGGGGGGAAGGGGTGGGGGGGGGTCACACCTGGGCTGCCCCCCCAAAACGGGTCAAACCCCACCCCCGCCTGTCCCGACAGGGGCTCCCTGTCCCGACAGGGCACCGGGACTGACGTGCCCCCCCCGCCACGGGCCAAACCCCCCAAACCCCCGCCGCCTCGGGGTGTCCCGCGTCCCGACAGGGCCCCGGTGTCCCGACAGGGCCTCGTTGTCCCGACAGGCGCCGCGGCGGCCGCGGCCCGATGACGTCGCGGCACCGGCTGAACAATGAATGTGCAAAACCCCGCCGTACCCGGGGGGGGGTCGCCGAGAGCCCCCCCACCCCTAATTAACCCCGCGGGGGAATGACGAGGAGCTGTAATTAAGGGCTATAATTACGGCCGGTAATTAAGGGCTGAGGCTGCCGCGTGCCGGGGCTCCCCCACCCCCCTCCCGGTGCCCCCCCCCGCCCCCGCCGGCCCGGCCGGTTCGGTGACAGTGACGCATCATTTTGGGGGGGGGGAGCCGTTTTTGGGGTGTCCCCCCCCCGCCCGGGGGGAGGTATCAAAAATAAACTTGAAGCTTCCAGCCCGTTTTCCCCCCCAAGAAAACCTTCCCGAAGTGAGACCCCCCCCCCCCCCCCCCCCCCCCACCCCCCCCCCCCCCCCCCCCCGGGAGGGCCTGAAGCCCCCCCCCCCCCCGGTTCCTACCGGGAATCACTCCCAGTCCATCCTCGGCCCGGCCGGTCGCTGCGAGGGGGAGGGAGCCGGGAGCTGCTGCGGGGGGGAATTGGGGAGGGGGTGTGAAATACTGGGGGGTTTAGGGGGGGGGGGGTCCCGTGTGAGCGGCCGGATGATGGGGGGAGCTGATCCCAAAAATGAATCCCAAGAAGAGATCCCCCAAACCGCAGCGCGGGGGACCCTGAGGGTGGGAAGCGACAACCAAACTCACTACGAAATGCGAAAATAATACGAATAGATAAAAAATGCTAAAGAGGCAATGAGGAGATCCCCAAATCCTAAAGGATCTGAAGTGGGGGGGATTGTAAATCCCGGGAAGCTGCGGGAAGCACGGCCTAGAGGATGGGGAAGGGGGGGCCGCTAAAGGGGTCCCCCAAATGTCGAGAAACCGATGAGGGGGACCCTGAGTGATGGGAGGGGATTGCGGGGAAGTGGAAATGAGGCTGGGGCTCCTAAATTATGAGCACCACAGAAAGTACCCCTAAAATACAGGGGAACTGTAAAGACGTGAGAAAGCTAAATTGAGGTGGAGGAGCGGCCAAACACCCCAAATCTCGGGAGGGGAGGGCCTGAGTCTCCGCAAGGGGCACCTGCACGGGGGAAAACCGCAAGGGTGGGGGGAAGGGGAGCCGTGAGAAGAGGAAAGCGGCCCCCAAATCACGGGAGGCCGCCGGGGAGTGGGGGGGGCGGTGGGAGGGGGGGGCGGGCCCCTCATGACGGAGCCGGGCGCCATCCCCCCCTATGCCGCGGGCCCCGTAGCAGCACCGGGCCGAGCCCCCCGCCCCGCCGGCCCCGGTACCTTGAGCGGGCGGGGAGAGCGGGGGGGGGAGGGAGGGGGGGGGTCAGAGCCCGGCCCGGGCCCGTCCCGCCGCTGCCGCCGCCGCCATCTTACACTGAGCCCCGGCCGTGGCCCGAGATCCCGCGAGAGCCGCCGCAAATCCCGCGAGAGCGGCCGGCGGGACGGGAGGAGGCGGTGCCGCGGGGGGAAGCGTGGGGGCGGGGCAACGCCGCGGTCAGCCAATGGAAACGCGAGAGGCGCGGCGCCCAAATGTCGCGAGAACGCGCCTAGCAGTGGGGAGGGAGTTTGGAGAAGCCTCGCGAGATTTCGTGAGGACTGTGGGGGAGGGCAGGCGGCCCCTCACGGATCCTGCCTCGTACCGGGAGGAGGGGGAGGGGTGGGGCTGACGGTGAACGGGTGGAAGGCCTGCCCGCCACACAGCGGCTCAACCCCCCCGCTCCCCTCGCAGGCCGCGGGCCCCACGCTGTTCCCTCAAGCACCGGCACTCACCGGCACGCTGATGAGGAGAGCGAGATCTCGCGAGGCGCTGGCGGCAGCGCGGCCCCGTAGCCTCGCGAGAAGGCGCGCGGAAAGAGAGAGACAGAGAAAGAAAGGAGCGGCAGCGGGAGCGGCCCCGGCGCGGGCGGGGGAGGGCGGGGGGAGCGCGGCCGCGGCCTCAGCGGCGGGAACGGCGGCGGCGCGCGCGCCGATCTCGCGAGAGCGCCGGGAGAGCGGCTCCAAATCTCGCGAGACCGGAGCTCGGCCCTCCTCGGCTAAAGGGACAAGATCTCGGATGAGCGCTGCTGCTCTCGCGAGAGCTACCCTGCAGAGCGCGCGCTATGTGGGAGCACGTGACCCGGCCCGGGGCATTTTTCACCAATTTCGGGATTTTTTGTTTGTTTTTTTCTTTCTTTTTTATTCTACAAATACAAAAGGAGAGGGGCGGGGCCGCGGTCTCCGGACACGCCTACAAAACAGGGGCAGCCAATGGGAAGCGGCCCCGCCCCATCAATCAACCTGAAAACACTTAGGGGAGGGGCAAAAAAAAAAAAAAACCTAGCGGGGACCAATCAAAGATGGCTCCGCCCCTCCCGCAGCTGTGGGGCGGGGCTTGTCCAATCGCCTGAGCTCCTGGAGGCGGGAAATGCGAAAGCCCCGCCCCTATTCCATCCACGGCCAATGGGAAGGCAGGAACCGTGGTGGGCGGAGCCAGGATTCGGCTCCACCCTGTGTGGGCGTGGTTTGGATCTAAGTGGGCGTGGTTTGATGTTGCCTCGCCCGTTTTACCCTACATGACCAATGGGCGTGGCTTGGGCGGTGAGAGGGCGTGGTCTCAGCTGAATCTGCATTGTGGGCGTGGCCTCAGGGAGGACAGGTGGGGCCGCACCTGAATGGGCGGTGCCTATAACAAGCCACGCCCCTTTTTAGCAAGCACGTTGTTCTGATAGGTTGGTCCTGCCGGGCCCCGCCCCTTTCTGCAGCAGCCCCGCCCATAGTTCATTGTTCAGCCGGCGGTGGGCGGGGCCTGGCAGGGCGTGGCCGCCCCGCCCTCAGAGCAGCAGCTTCCCGTTGCGGTGGATTTTGAGGATCCGGCCCAGGCGCTGCTTGGCCGTGGCCAAACCCTTCCGCGGGCGCTTCCCTGCGGGCAGGGGTGGAATGTCACCGGGATTGGGGGGACACAGACCTCCAGAACCACCCCAGGCCTTCCAAAACCACCCCAGAACCCTCCGAAACCACCCCAGACCCTCCGAAACCACCCCAGAACCCTCCAAAACCACCCCAGACCCTCCAAAACCACCCCAGAACCACCCCAGGCCTTCCGAAACCACCCCAGACCCTCCGAAACCACCCCAGAACCCCCCGAAACCACCCCAGAGCCCGCCATAACCACCCCACACCATCCAAAACCACCCCAGAACCATCCCAGGTCTTCCAAAACCACCCCACACCCTCCGAAACCACCCCAGAACCCCCCGAAACCACCCCAGAGCCCGCCATAACCACCCCACACCATCCAAAACCACCCCAGAACCATCCCAGGTCTTCCAAAACCACCCCACACCCTCCGAAACCACCCCAGAGCCCCCCCAGACCCTCTGAAACCACCCCAGAACCCCCCCCAGACCCTCCAAAACCACTCCGGAACCCCCCAGCACCCCCCAGACCCTCTGAAACCACCCTAGAACCCCTCCAGACCCTCTGAAACCACCCCAGAACCCCCCCAGACCCTCCGAAACCACCCCAGAACCCCATCAGACCCCCCAAAACCACCCCAGACCCCACCAAATCCACCCCAGACCCTCTGAAACCACCCCAGACCTCCCCAGACCAGCAGAAAACCCCCACAAAACCCCTCAGACCACCCCAAACCCCCCTCAAAACCCCTCAGCCCCCTCTAAAACCCCAACAAATCCCCTCAGACCCTGCTCAAAACCTCCCTACAGCATCGAAACCCCCCAAAGCCACCCCAGATACCCCTAAAAATCCCCCAAGACTCTTCAGACCCTCCTTGAAAGCCCCGGGCAGCCTCCTCAAATCCCCTGAGAAATCCCCAAAATCCCCTCCCAAAATCCCCTCAGACCCTGCCCAAAACCCCCCTACAGCACCGAGACCCCCAAAGCCACCCAAGAACCCCCTAAAAACTCCCCAAGACCCAAAGAAAGCCCTCCCAAAACCCCTCAGACCCTCCCCAAAACCCCCCGACAGCCACCCCAAATCCCCTCAGATATCCCCAAAAATCTCAGAAATCCCCAAGACCCCCTCAGACCCTCCCCAAAATCCCCTCAGACCCTTCCCGTAACACCCCTACAGCACCAAGACCCCCCCCAAAGGCACCCCACAACCCCCAAAAAACCCCCCAAAACCCCCTCAGACCCTCCCCGAAGCCCCCCCCCGAACCCCTCACCGTGGCTGGGGGGCGCCGTTCCGGGGGGGCCCCGGCGCTGGCTCAGGAACACCCCCGGGGCCATGGGGGTGGGGGCGCGGCCGGGCTGAGCCCCGGGGAGGGGTCCCGGCCCCCCCGGCCGCGCCGTGTACTCGTGGTCAGCCAGGCTGGGGGGGTACGGCGGCTCCGGCGGCGGCTCCGGGGGCGGCTCGGCCTCGGCTTCGCCCCCCCCCAGCTCCGCCTCGGGCTCCGCGTCCCCCTCGGGCTCAGCTTCGGGATCTTCATCTTCCTCGTCTTCCTCTTCCTCCTCTTCTTCCTCCTCCTCTTCTTCCTCCGGGGAGGGGGGCGAGGGGGGGCGGCGCTTGGCAGGGCCCTTCCTGCGCTGCAGCTTTCGGTGCTCCTGGGGGGACAGGGGGGGATTTATGGGGGTTTGGGGGGGTCTGAGGGGGATTTATGGGGGTTTGGGGGGGATTTATGGGGG